AAAATTGTGTTCGTCAATTATTATTAAATAAACAATGTAGAATTCAGGCCCATCTTCTAAATGTAAAATAATGTCACCTATTTTAATATTATTACTTTCAAAATGTACTGTTTTGACTGTTACTAATTGTTGTTTTGTAATTAAATGGCTAGGTAGTAAATCTTTAAAAAAAAAAATATTTGGAATAATAGTACATAACTCAGCTTTCTTCTGAGAGTGCATATTCTTAAATAGAAGGAGAATGATTTTTTTTATCAGTTATGGGAGTTAAGGCAAGTTTTATTGCTGTATGGAATTTTCCCAAGTTTAAACAGGACTACGCTCACAGGGTCATTTATAGTTATCCGAAAATAGTAGGCACATGTGGTCGGGAAATTTTAATCCTGAGCCTGGCATTTATTTAACTATGTTTTGTGCATTTTTTCATAATGAATGAAAGATCATCTTTTTCAATTATCTATAAGGCTAAAGATTTTTTTTTGTTGGGGAAATTTTACTAAACGTGCTTGTTAAAATTTACCCAGATGGTTTTGTAATAATTCATACGCGTAGTTTGTAAAATTTCCCACATTTTGAAGATATCACGTGGTTAACCCAAAGTTAAGGGTAATTTTTCACGAAAAATTTTCTCAGTGTATATATATATATATATATATATAAATCTATATATAAATATAAAGTCTAATATTATTACAATAAATATAAGTAAATACAGACACTTTTAAATACACATCACATTACTTTTAATACACCTAAAGTTCCTTCGCATACACGGAAAAAAATTTGTAGTACTTTTTACTCAAAAAACTTAAGTAAAAAGTACCACCACACATAGTACTCGAGGGATATGAGGGCGCTGTAGTAGAAAACACTACAACATGATTTAAAAAGTACCACATCATGTGATATAAAAAGTACAACATGTTAAGTAAAATTTCAACCAACCCTGTTGTAATTTTTCAATTAAAATTTTCACTAAAAATACTACAAAATTCAATATATTTATAGAATAAAATATTTTCTAATATATTTAACCTATTGTAATGGGACATTCTTTAATATATTATGGTAAAAGACAAACCCATATGAATTATATGCAAGATTTATTTAGACTGGGCTATGATATTTTTTGGTTAACCTCTTGCCATTGCTAAATTGTTTTCCACTGTAAAAAAATACGGTCTGAAGAATACCGAATGTTACCTACGAAAAATAAAAATTGGTTTTGACTTGTTGCACGAAACACTTTATTGTAGATTTGGAATGAAGTCAATCAAGGATATAATGAATACTATAAATACTAGCTTTTATAATATGTGTTCAAAAATCTGCATATGTAAATCTCACAAGCCAGTATATTTACCGATGGATATTTATACTAAACGAACAGAAAATGGACAAGAAGCTCGAGAAAAAATTGCCAAGCTGTTTAAAGAAGACATTCAAGACAGTACTGAAACATATTCTTCCATGACACTCGACAGTGAGAAGGAAAAGCCATCCATTTTCACTCTTAGCTACTAAGAAAAAATATTTATTTACGGATGTTATTTATCCAATTTACACTTATACTCAAAATAAGTAATCCTCATTACTGTAGAAATAAGAACTGATTTAGCCTATAGCTGGTCCTAAATATTTTCGAATCATTGTAGTGATATTGAATGTTGAAAGCAATGAAGGTAACTTGAGAATAAAACTCAAAAATTTTACAATATAAGCTTTAGAAATTTAATTAGAGAAGTAATTCTAAAAACTGATACATAGGGCTTTCAATTAAATCGTTTTATACTCATAATCAAATGTATAATGTTTAAATATGAATTTATACACGGAAAATTTTTTTTAGTAAAAATTACTACATCTGCGTAGGTAATCGTGTTCCATCATTCCGATGAGAGTAAAAATTAATTGTTTTCATTGTAAATATTACTATAACTTAGGTAAAAAAAGTCTAATCTGTTATAGTAAACTTTACCACCAAACTATAGTAAAAATTAATACATTAGTAGAAATTACTACATTATTTTATAGAAATTACAAGATTTTCATTTGAAAAATTACTCAAATGTCGTGATACTTTTTACCTAAAAGTGATGGTAAAAATTACCCACATTTCACATTTCAATAAATGCGCATGCGTGAGTCCAGTAGAAGCATGCGCATAACGATAATTTCGATAGAAGGAATCATTTCTCGGAGATCACGCGTATCACATTTTTAGGTTCTGTTTTATGTTGTACGTTAAAAGTAACAGAGAAACGTTCATTTGCATTAATTATGTTGATTTACTGATTCTGATTGCTAATATTGTTCTTTTGTTGGATTTTATCTGAAAATACTTTTTTGATGATGATGGAATGTTTTATGATTTTTTTTTACAGTGGAAAACAATTTAGCAATGGCAAGAGGTTAACCAAAAAATATCATAGCCCAGTCTAAATAAATCTTGCATATAATTCATATGGGTTTGTCTTTTACCATAATATATTAAAGAATGTCCCATTACAATAGGTTAAATATATTAGAAAATATTTTATTCTATAAATATATTGAATTTTGTAGTATTTTTAGTGAAAATTTTAATTGAAAAATTACAACAGGGTTGGTTGAAATTTTACTTAACATGTTGTACTTTTTATATCACATGATGTGGTACTTTTTAAATCATGTTGTAGTGTTTTCTACTACAGCGCCCTCATATCCCTCGAGTACTATGTGTGGTGGTACTTTTTACTTAAGTTTTTTGAGTAAAAAGTACTACAAATTTTTTTCCGTGTATGCGAAGGAACTTTAGGTGTATTAAAAGTAATGTGATGTGTATTTAAAAGTGTCTGTATTTACTTATATTTATTGTAATAATATTAGACTTTATATTTATATATAGATTTATATATATATATATATATATATACACTGAGAAAATTTTTCGTGAAAAATTACCCTTAACTTTGGGTTAACCACGTGATATCTTCAAAATGTGGGAAATTTTACAAACTACGCGTATGAATTATTACAAAACCATCTGGGTAAATTTTAACAAGCACGTTTAGTAAAATTTCCCCAACAAAAAAAAATCTTTAGCCTTATAGATAATTGAAAAAGATGATCTTTCATTCATTATGAAAAAATGCACAAAACATAGTTAAATAAATGCCAGGCTCAGGATTAAAATTTCCCGACCACATGTGCCTACTATTTTCGGATAACTATAAATGACCCTGTGAGCGTAGTCCTGTTTAAACTTGGGAAAATTCCATACAGCAATAAAACTTGCCTTAACTCCCATAACTGATAAAAAAAATCATTCTCCTTCTATTTAAGAATATGCACTCTCAGAAGAAAGCTGAGTTATGTACTATTATTCCAAATATTTTTTTTTTTAAAGATTTACTACCTAGCCATTTAATTACAAAACAACAATTAGTAACAGTCAAAACAGTACATTTTGAAAGTAATAATATTAAAATAGGTGACATTATTTTACATTTAGAAGATGGGCCTGAATTCTACATTGTTTATTTAATAATAATTGACGAACACAATTTTTTTATTATAGGAAAGATGATGAATGATGTAGGTTTTGATTCACATTTACAATCTTATGAAATTTTATCGCCATCATTTTCATGGGTTTGTAAAAATAGTAAAGATTTATATGGTTATATTATAAGCTATATTGTATGCGCGTCAAATAGTTGTAAATATATTGTAAATAGATAAGCTTAGTATTATATTTTACTAATTATTATATTTTATGTGAATCTCTAAATAATAAAGTCATTAAAATGTACGTAAATGTTTATCTTGTCAGAATAATATCCACCTATTCTATTAGATACTTATAAGTTTTAAATAATTTTCTAACTTACATAAGATGTGTAAAAAAAAAAATTTTTTACAGTAGAAAATTTCACCGAATATGGCATTATAAACCTAGTACGGGAAACAGATGCGAGGTTGATGATTGGTTGGCGGCCCGCGACAATGTCTCCCCCCATTGGCGAGCAGTGCAAGGCCCATGGGCCTACATTGCCTGCATTGGTTATTATTCACTATTTTCTGGATACCAGGAAAAACCCAACATCTTTTATTATTCTACCAGTCTAAGATTTTAGTGTATATACTGTAGTTACACTTCTTGTAATCTATGACTTTAAACTGTGCAAGGGAGTTAGATTGTTTACAAATAATAGCAGATTCCATTCAACATCAGGATACTCATATTATAATTTCACTTTTGTCTTTTATTTTGTTTATTTTAATATGCCTAATAACCGTAAATACCGTGTACTTAACCGCAAGATTGCTGCGAAGAAGGCGAACAAACAGAAGCGTAAATCGGGACGAAGGAATACCTCTTTTAAGAGTGTAATCGCACATGGCGTGCGTACTTTGGCAAGTTTTGTACCTGGCCTGAAGTAAACATGCGCACGAAAGGCATGTTCAGTGTCAAGGATATGACCAGCATGGAGCGAGTTGGGACTAGATTAATATACCCGCTTCTCTTTAAGGCTGAGGAATTTTCAACGTTATGTACTGATGGGGAAGAGTTTTACCATTTATCTCCGTATGAAAAGGAGGGTGTATTGAAGGTTGAAGTACCCCCGGAAGATCCGCGACACCAGATTCTGATGGAAAGATTAGCCACTAATAGCGCACGTGCGAGGAGCACCTGCGCAGTAGAGGGGATAGGGGACGGTGCTTATTTAAGTCCCGACAGCTCCCCCATCTAGTCAATCTCTGGCCTGCAGCCGAGCCGTATACATCGCTCGGGCCTTTCTTCCTTGTCTCCTACTCATTCGTCGTGAGTGCGTTCAAGCAATCGTCACATTTCATCTTTGAATGTTTCGTGTATTTAAGTGCCTGCGAATTCAATCACGATATTTTATCTAATTCTTTCTGTGAAGTGCAGTTGATCTCCCCACACTTGGATTACCGGGAGACAACTTATTTTCGTACAACAATTGACATTTTTTTATTCCTTGGACTCATTTAAAATGCTCGTTGACGAAATGCCGCGTAGTTTTGTTAAGAAGAACAATAGTTATAGTCATTATCCGCTGAAAAAGCGGCCAGTGCATGTCTTGTATGAAGAGTCTTCTGAATCTGTCAAAGGTAAGCATCTTTTATCTGGTTATACGTTGAAGATATAGTCTTGGAGAGTTGAGAGTTTGATGGTGATGATGAATTAACCAGTTGTTTTAATATTTTTTTTTTTTTTAAAGATGTAATCATTGATGTGGTGACAGATGACATCCCAGAGCCAGAAAACCTGAGCACCAAACCAGAAGACTTGAGCAGAATATCTGAGAAATATCGTTCAACAAAATCAATATCACGATCTCCATCACCAACGACGATAAGTCAACAATCAAGTTCTCCAGTTCGATTGATTCCAGTCCAACCGACACTACATCAACATTTATACCCATCAAAGCCAATCACTCCACCAGTAGGAATTGCTCCGATCCATCCAATCATCAAGAAAGAAAGGATTGAAGTCATCCAACACGACGGTGGTGCACCAGTTCATTTTCTCGCCAGCAAACCACTACTGGAATCATTAAATTTAAACACACCAGTTGAACCTGTGGCTCATTATGCCACACCAGCATGGGCAAGAGCAGCACCACTCTACCCACCACACTACTTGCCGTATTCTCCAGCCTACAGATTCTAACATTCCAGGGAACTTTATCCATCATATCCACACTCGTCGCCAGAACGTGCATCAGTGTCATCACCACCTCCACCTCCACCAGCTTTGACTTGTTCAACGATTCAGCGACCAATCGCCAGATCTTTTTGGGCCAACTCAAGTCCAGAGCATTGTACCTTATCTCCAACGTCTTCACTAGGATATGGACCTCTCAGGTCACCACCTCCAGTCACCCCAGAAGATTTATCATCACCCGGAAGTGACAGTGGTCGATCATCGGCAGGCAGTACATCAGCAGGATCCACTATTCTAATGAAAATGGAAACCAACACATCAGTCATGAGCACCCCAACATCTTCCACATCATCTCCATCAACGGCAACATCTCCAAGGTATTCATGTCCAGATTGTGGCAAGTCTTATTCAACATACAGTAGACTCTCCAAACACCAACAGTTCCACTGTTCAGTTAACTCTGAAGGTCAAGCCAAAAAATCCTTCTCTTGCAAATATTGCGAAAAGATTTACGTCAGCCTTGGTGCTTTCAAGATGCATATTAGGACTCACACACTACCGTGCATGTGTCATCTCTGTGGAAAAGCTTTCTCCAGATCTTGGGTTCTACAAGACCACATCAGAACACACACGGGAGAGAATCTCCGTATGCTGTAATGTGCACCGATGCCCGAGACGCATCATGTTGTGTGAAGGATAAACATTATGCAACCTCTGTCGGCCGGGTCACCGTCCTGTTCGGATGGCGAGAATAAAGCTGGGAACATATTATCGGACGCGTCCGTAAGCCGCGGCTTTACGCGTTCATCGTAGCTTAATACACTTCTACCCAATATTCTCCGCAGAAGGTCTTTTAAAATCTTGATAAGCCTCTCCCAGTATCCGCCCCACCAAGCAGCAGTAGGCACATTAAACTTCCACTGTATACGTATGATGTTAGAATATCTTTGCACCTTATTCCAATCAATTTCTTTAAATAAATTGTTGGCTCCAACAAAGTTGGTGCCGTTATCTGACATCATCACTCTCACTCTTCCACGACGCGCGATAAATCTACGAAGTGTCATCAGAAACTCTTCAGTGGATAAACTTCTAGCTATTTCCAGGTATACTGCCCTGTATACCGCAAACGTGTACAACACAATCCAACATTTTCCACCTTTTTTTTTTATGCTAAATAGGCAATGCGTTTGACCACAATCTCACCTGATGGAAAGCGATGATGAGGCCTAGGATGGTACACGCCTGCCTCGAAGATGCCTGTTCACTCTGGCCTTGAAGATGTCCAGGTTATATTGGTCCGGGAAAACAGACCTCGGCAAGGAGTTCCACTCCCTAGCCGTTCGTATAATGAAGGCCGAAGCAAATCGCTTCTCGTAAGTATAGAGGCCCAGCTAGGTCTACACCGGTAACCTCAAATGTAGCACGCTCCAAGGGCAACGGAGCCAATGCTTTAATGTTTTTTGCGTTAAATCTCCTGCAAACAACGCATTTTGATATTATTGTCTTGATTTTAAGTCTTATGCCAATAACCCAAAATCTTTGTCGCACTTCTGCAATTACTATGTTACTCCCCGCATGTTGAAGTCTCCGATGGCATTCTTCAATCATTCGTACTACAATAAAGTTATTTGCTGGTAATATAAAAGGTTTCTTAATACTTTCTGGAAAGTCTCCTAAGGTAAGTTTAGTTTCTATTCTCAATAAACCTAATGAATCACGAAATATTTTGTAGTTTGAACATCTTTTTTCGATAAATGCCTGATTTTCTTTTTGTATTAATCCAACCATTTTTCTTTCAGCTTCTTCAAATTCTTCGTAGTTTAATTCACCATGTTTCCTCTTATTACTTTGTTTTATATTATGAATAAATCTCATTACCCATCCTAATGTGCGTATTATTTTTGTATAGTTAGTATATTTACTACTGACTTTGGCCATTTTTCTACGCTGTCTCGTAACCATCGTGGTCCATCAAACCAACGTATATCATAAAGTTGTTTCGCGTCGCAGCCTCTTGAATCTATATCCGCCCAATTTAGTTCTCCTGGCACATGATGCCAATTTTGTGGACATGAACTTTCTCTTATTTCCTTCACTCTATTACCAACAAAATTATTCCATGGTAGTTCCTTTTTTATCCAGCATAATACAACACTCGAATCTGTCCAAAAATATTCATCATTAATACAAACATCTAAACCTTTTTTCGTTTCTGTAGCTAACCTTGTTGCAATTAATGCTGCCATCAATTCAAGACGGGGTATAGTCATTCTTTCAGTAGGAGCTACTTTCGATTTAGCCACCAGTAACTGAACCGACACTTGACCCTTACATTCTGCTCTAAAAAAGACGCACGCTGCATACCCATCTTTGCAGGCATCACAAAACGTGTGCAGTGTAAATTGACCGTCTCTTATTGGTCCTTTGGAAATTTTCCTCGGCACTTTATAGTCTTTAATGTAAAAGACTTGTTCATACCATTTCAAAATCCTCCTTAAAATGTCGTCTGGAACCTCTTCATCCCAGTCTAGCTTACGTCGCCACATCTCTTGAATGATGAGTCTGGGTACTAAAGTCACCGGACACAATAATCCTATAGGATCAAATATTTTTTGTGTTAATGAAAGTAAAGTTCTTTTGGTAAACCTATTAATTTTATCCGGAGTAGGTAAATCTACTTTACAGTATAATTCATCGGATTCAATATTCCACATTATACCTAAAACTGACATATCATTTTTCTCCGTCTCGTTGATTTTAGTAGAAGATATTACCCATTGTCTTAAATCAAACTGTGCCCAGCTCATTATTTTCTTCGCATCAGTCATAAATTTCAATGCTTCTTCCTCACTATCCGTACTATATAAACAATTATCTACATAAAAAGCTTTAAGCAATTCGTTAGCACAGTTCTTATATTTACCAGTAACCTTTTCTAAATGGTGTTGTATCGTTGCAGACAATATGAAAGGACTACATGATAAACCAAATACCACGCGACAGTGACGATAAGTTTTCATCTCATTCGCTGTTTTATCTGCCCACCAAAGAAATTTTAAATAATCTCTGTCTCTTGTCGCTATACTTATTTGTAAAAAAGCTTTTGCGATGTCAGCAGTTATTCCAATAGTGCCTTTTCTGAACCTTAAAAGTAGTTTTGGTATATTTTCTATAAGATTAATACCTTTTTCGAGAAACAAGTTTAACGACTTATAATTTTTGTCCTTAATTTTTGTAGTGAGTCTATTTTCGTTGATTACAGCATGATGGGATAAATAATGTCCCGATTCATGATCCTCATTCGACTCCTCAATAGTTTCAATAATACCTAATGCTTCCCACTCTTTAAATACTGTATTATAATCAAATAACTTACCGCATGTCTTAAGCCGTTTTGTTGTACTTAATAATCGTGCTTTCGCCAAATCATAATTGCTTAGCCCTCTTTCCAAGGTAATAAAACTTCGTACCTCTTCTCCTCGTTGACACCAATATTATTCTCGAAGTCCGCTAATAGCTCTGCTTCCTTCTCTGCAGTAGTTTTTTCAAGCAAAGGATCACGAATGCCTAGATTTTCGAGTGACCAAAAATTACTAATATCTGTTGAACAAAGTAAGATGTTAATATTGTCCATTGCACCTGACTTTTTACCTAATATTGTCCAGCCTAGCTTAGTTTTGATCGCTGTCTACCCATTTCTTAAAGATTTGATTTCGTTAGTCATGAAAAGACCACAGAAATCCGCGCCTATCAATAAGCCTATTTCAGAACTACTTGTGCCCTTGTCTGTTAGAGATACATTATTGGACTTTAATAGTTTTGACAAACTACTGTCACTTATGTTAACACTTGGTATATTGCCACAGATCTGACTTAAAGCTAATACTGATAAATTATTGAAATGAAATGTATTGTCCAGACTTTGAATATTAATATTGTAACTGTTGTATTCTTCTGTCTTCGTTTCAATTCCACTAAATAAGTAATGACTTAAAAATTCTTTACTTACAGGTTTTAGTCCCAAAATTTCTACAACTGACTTTTTAATGTAAGAACGTTGTGCTCCTGAATCAAACAATGCTCTTACTTTCATCTGCTAGTCGTTGTTTACTATTGTAATCATCAGAGTCTGTAAAAGAGTAACATTTTGAACCTGTGTAGAGTTATTATTGACCGTGTTATTATTACTTGATGACGAAATAGGTGTTTCTTCTATCTTTCCGGGACATAAAATGACGGAATGTCGCTTCATACAAATACAACATTTTGTGTATGTGCTTTGCAGACCTTTGTGAAGTGTCCTATTTTTAAACACAAAGAGCACGCTTTTTTCTTTCTTATGAACTCTTTTCTTTGTTCTAAATTCATTTTTTGCAGCTTATAACATTCTACGCTGACATGAGATGTTTTTTCGCAAAACAAACAATGTTTAGTATCAAGTTTCTTCACATTAGTCAGTAAACATTCTGCGGTTGACTGCTGAGTAGTCATTTGTTCTCTATCTGAGTTTATAAAAGTGGAACGTGCCATATTAACTCTTTGTTCACTATCAACTTCTCGCTTTAAAAATAATAGTAAGTTACTGAGCTCTTTATCTGAACTATCTGCAGTAAGAGTCTGAGGTCGGCTTCTTTCCCAAAATTTTAAAATCTCGCTTGGCAACGCTGACTCTATCATTGGGTAAATAAAGGCAGAATTTCCTTGGTTACTCCCAGTGTTTCTAGAGATCGTATATGCGCGCTGAGTTGATCATATAATTTTGTCAGAGAGATATTATTACTTTGTTTTGCTTGGAGAAGTATAAGCCCTAAAAGTTCTCTTACATACACTTCTATTAATAAATCATCTCGAGCAAAGCGTGACTTAAGTTGTTCCAAAGCGTGGCGGTAGCTTAATCCTGACGGTGGAAAACTTTCGGCAATTTCTTTTACATTAGTACCAAACTCCATTGATTGTAATAAGTATTGATACTTATGGTCGTCTTCTATTTTATTATCCTCGTCTATTTTTCTGAATTGACCCCAGAACGAAAGCCAATTTTTAATTTGACCGTCAAACTTTTTTAGCTCTATCTTAGGTAAATTATATTTTCGATACTGCTTTTGGCTAAACGGTACAACCGCGATACCAAGGTTGAATGTATGTTATATTTTTTACTGAAAAGATCTGTATTTAAGAAGTAATTTGTGTTAAGTTTCATCTCCCGGAGATGCGTAGTTTCTTTGAAAAAAAAATATGAAAATCG